AAAAAAACAGAGCAATTCATACGTATTCTTGAGAAAAAAACAGAGCAATTCATACGTATTCTTGAGAAAAAAACAGAGCAATTCATACGTATTCTTGAGAAAAAAACAGAGCAATTCATACGTATTCTTGAGAAAAAAACAGAGCAATTCATACGTATTCTTGAGAAAAACAGAGCAATTCATACATATTCGGAAGAAAAACAGAGCAATTCATAAGGAAAATCAATATAACGCCAGTTCAAACTCTGAAACTGTTAATTATCGTTAGATGAAAAGGGTTATGTTGATAGATAATGGTAACCTCAGAACGTGCTCTATGGAGGTCTTGTTCAAGCTGAGAGAGCTTGATTCTACTGGACTCTAGCTGCTGAATATAAGCCTGGTCATATAAAAATATCAGAAATTTGGAAGTGGGTATCTCAAATTCTTCAATGAGCTAACAAATCTCTCAAAGAAAACTTCTGGGTATGAAACATAATCACTCATTACTCAAACCTTCTTCCTCAGACGGCTCTTTTTTGCAGCTACTCTGTTTTGAGCCAATCGTCTCAGTGTCTACAAAAGTCCATTTTTTCCCTCAAATTTTCAGACTTCAGCAAAGAAAAACAAATTTATGAAGACATAATAATAGAACCTTGGCATCAAGCTGCCTCTGTGACGTTGAATTTGCTCCTTTTCTCTGTGATTGATTCTGGTTTGACGATGGCTCTGTTTTGAAAACATGATGATTTTAAGAACAAGGCGTTGTGGTTATTGGCCAAGAAGGGAACATATCAACAAAATATGCAATGAAATTAGTACAGAGCTGAAACAGAGTAGGATAAGAATGAAAATTATTACGTGAAGATTGGAGTTCGTCGTTTTGAAGCTCAACTCTCTGTAAAACTATGGCTTCTTCGAGCTCTTCAAAATCAAAGCTTGACCCTTCTGGATTTCTGTACAAAGAAATATGAACGTTTGAGCATAAAAGAAGTTGATAATCAATGGAAGCTTCAAATTCATACTCACATGAAAGACGAGAGATTCGCCATGGCTGCCGAGCTTGGTTTACGCCATTTTTGAGCTTTGGAGAAACAGAGGAGAATTTGAAGGAGAACTTACAGGGCCGCCCTGTCTCTTTCTTGAGATATATATATATATATATGGATTAATTTATTTGAAATAATTAAAATTAATGGTGGAATTGGAAGTTTGATTTCTCTGCTTCGCGGCGAAGAAACCTGGATTTACCATAACTTCTGTCTCTGTTTATCTCCAAAGGGATGTGGGTGTTTTGTTGAAACTCATCACAAGCCCGACCAAAATTACTATTTTAGCCTTCATGTGTTACCAACAACTACTATTCTTTTGTCTACCTTTATTCGTTTTTAAACGATGCTAACATAATCGATAGTTAGAAATATATATATATATATAGTCGAGTAAAACTTAGAATCCAAATTCAATATCTGATGGCTACAATTTCCTCTACGGGTCATGCTACCTGCTCATTGCATCTTAAGAGTAAAGACTAACCTTGCAGATAAACACGAGTCCTTCTAGCATGGTTTGTCCTTCCTTACATACGACTCATGAAAATTCTCAGGAGGTTACCCAATATAGAGTTGCTTCTGAGTAAAACATGTTTTACCATGAAGTTTATATGATAGTCATCCCATCCTTAGGATGGCTCTTCTTTGAACGCGGTATTGGCTCATTCATGTACTCTTTTTTTACTCGAATGTCACATGTTCTAAAATTTATGTGTCAAGGGAAAATCGAATAATTGAATTAAGTTTGTCTATGTTATATAGAAACGTCGAGCGACATGTTAATTCAAATGTCATCCGTTTTAGATTAAATATCAGTAGAATTTATTACTTCTAATGGAAAAAAATACTTGGCTCCTATTATGGTTCATCTTTTAAAATATGCTTTTAAAATCAAATATAACTTTTTTTATTATTATTATTTCTTAATTGTTTTCTAATTTAAGATTCAAAACTATTTTTATTTAATTTTTTATTTAATAAACAAAGAGGGTGGAAATAGGGTGTTGGGGTTTAGGGCAAAGGTATGTTATGGGTTTTGGTTGTTTTATAAAAGATACCAAAAAGTCATTGCTTCCTCTATTATGGATGAAAGCACCACACCAAAAAGCCATCCCTCTTCTTCTTCTTCTTTTTCAAATTATAGTAATAATAATCAAAATCATATTTTGAGCGTAACGGTGGAGACAGTTATTTTCTAAATAGAATTAGAGACGGTATTATATGCATGGCGTAATCTTTTGTAAACGATGTCATAGACTTATACGTTTGTAACATAAGATCTACAAAATAAAAATGCATCTATAGTAGCGTCTCTGATGATATTGCCGAACACTCGGAAGAAAGAGTGACCGTTGTAGCATCATGATAAACATGATGATCATTTTTCTTTTCATAACGTATGTGTCCGTACTCATCATAAGAGAAAGTATCCCGATGCACGTGAAAATACATTTATGCATGAGATCTCAACATACATAAAATAACTCTTCCAACCATGGCGATAGAAGAGTCACTTCTTGGTTGCCTTAGGCCAAAGCTACTACGACTTCTTGATACTAGTTATATTTCATAACGAAGTTATATTTCATCCTATAGTTCGTAATTTTATGTCATATAAATCATCCTACATACATATGCATTTAAGGGACATAGCGTAACAATTTGTACTTTTAACATACATCTCATGACATACGGTTCATATAGCAAGTACTTCAACATTTACACAAATCAATCCAGCATACAACTTGTCACATCACAACGCAATTCATTCAAAATAGCATAAAGTTCATAATTCATGCGTTTATGTATTAAGTCGTAATGGTATAAACATACAATTCATGACACATGCGAATCCACAGACATGTACCACTATACATCATACAATTGCGTAACCTACGACGGTAGCCACTTACTTGGTAGGCCTTAGCCGAAGTACTCCCTAAAATATATACGTAAGCTCCTAGCTCCTCGTATACGTCCTACGCTTTCGTTGGTGGTTGGTTCCTATTAGATCGTTCGACACCTTGTTAGTGTTTCACAAACCTAATTAATTTTCAACTTGAAATTTGTGATATACGACCTTAAAATGACCTATAAACCTAAAATGATGTCGAAATCAAGTCCAGGAGGGTTGAAACAGTGCCAAAAGGTCCGAAATAAGTTTTCCAAGCCGGATAAGCCGCCAGAGCCGATGAAGCCGCAAGAATCAGAGGTGTCGGGCTACAGATGTGCCACATGGCACAATCAGGAGATGACACGTGTACAGCAGTTTCGGGTCAAGGCGCGGGTCGCGTGCGGGTCTGGGTTGCAGTCGTAGGTCTGGGCTGAGAGCGTGTAGTGGACCAGGCCTGAGCTGAGCCCGTGTAGTGGACCGGACCATCAGCATCAGGTATTGGATTGGGCTTTTGGGTCTCGGTCGATTTGGTTTTTGGTCTCAGGTCGCAGCTGATGGGTTAGGCCGAGGCGCAGATTAGGTTTTCTAGGTTGGATCGAGGCGTCTGGGCCGCGGTGGTTTTGTTGGGCCGAGGGCTTGGACTGGAGTGAGTTGGTCTCGGTTCGAGTCGCGGGTCCGAATCTTGGGTCGGATTTGTCTCCTTCACCTGATTATCAAAAAAAATTTGGCGTCTTCTCTCTCTCTTCAGTAATGTCGTTTCCGACGTCCTTTTTCCTCCTTTTCCTTTTGTTTCCGAGTCTCCTCTCCTCCCTTTTCCCCTTTCTCGTGTTTGTTTGGCTCGGAAGGGTCTAAAACTCCCAAATCTGATGGTTCGAAAATTCGAGGTTCTGTCTTCCTCACCCGATATTGTATAGCGTGAAAGAAGCATTGGAGTTTGTTCCCGGTGTGTGGGTAGGCTTATGGGATGGTTTTCGTGGTGTAGTTTGGTGGTTTCGACGTCGATTTCGCATAGGTTCACTTCACCGAAACGTCATCGGTTTTCCTCAGTCTCTCTCGTTTTTCTCACTGTTTTTTCTTTCTTATAGGTGCCTTGGAGGTGGCTGAGGGTATGAGTCGTGTTGTTGGTGATCCAAGGGGCAGGTGCGGTGATCGTGGTTGTGTGGGAGCGAAAATTCCGACGCTCACTAGAGTTTTCGAGTCCTGCCGGCAATTGCGGGCCCACTGACTTTATATATATATCCATTCCATTATACTAGCAATTCGCACCCCCTGGACCTATCATAGTCGAGCTAATTGTCCGTAGCGACGTACAGAGGTCAACAAACCCCCAAGTGTCATGTGAGACAGATGATCATCATCATAGTGTACACGTTTGTACTTATCATCATAAATGGAAAAGTAACTCAATGTATACGTACATACAAAATGCATGGGATCCTTATAGTTTTCAAATCACCTTTATGACACAACCCTATATATCATTCGCATACTAAGTAACATGCATGTCTTGGTCGTCATACGTTCAACATCATTAACATTAACTAGAGTTTTGTTTCAGAAAAATCATCGTCATAATGCATCATGACATTTAATATTTGTACATCATCTTAATATAAAATAACGTCATATTAAGTCATCTCATCATCATACATCTTACATCGTCATGTTCTCATGCATCATCATCATATCATCATCATACAACGTCATCATGTAACATCATCATATAACGTCATATAACATCATATAGCATCATCATATAACATAGTCACATCATCATATAATATAAAACATAAATGACGCGTGCAAGGGCCACTGGGCATGTGTCGTCATATATGAAACAAATCTTCTGACCGAGCCAATAGTAAGACTATTTACTTGGTTGGCCTAGCCTGAAACTACTACGACTCTTTAATGCTAGATTAACGTTGCTCTCTGAGATTTAATTATGCACAAGGAGTCCAACAATCATGAGTTCTATTGTGGGAATTGGCTCACCTAGTTTTAGATAAAATAATTTTAAACTTACTCCTAATAATTTAAACTAACTCAGCCTAATTTTGCCTCAAATAATTTAAACTTCTAATAATTTAAAATAACTAAGCTTAATTATGCATAAATACTTTAAACTTGCTACTAGGTAGTCAAACTAACCTTAAACGCTCCCAAAGAATTGAAACTAGGAGGAAGAGATTCGAGTGTATCAGATCCAAGCCGGATTAACCAAAACGTCGGCCTTGAGCCGCTAGAAAGTGTATTCTTCGACTGACTTTGAACGGTTAAAGTGGATGATAAAATGAAGTGAAGACCTTCCTTTTACCATAGAGACCAACTCTCCACTTCTCAACTTGAGCCAGGTAGGACAATTCCTCTTCTGTTTTATTATTATTTTTTTCTTTCTAATTTTTAGGTTATTACATGTAAGGATATTTTATATAATTATTTTTAAAAAATCTATCTCATTCATTATTCAAAAAATTAATTTAAAAAAATTATTAGTACAAATGGGAAGTTGATTGGTTAAAATATTAGGAGGCTTTTTAAATTCTAAATATTAATAAATATATTATTTAAAAGTGAAGTTGAGAGTAAATTTCAAAATGGTTGGTGGTTTAAAATAATAAAAGATAATACAACAATTATTGAGAATAATTTGATGGTAATAAAATTTGTTAATTAATTATTTGATTAATAAAAATTAAAAGCATAAGTAATAAAATGAATGCTTTACCCACATATTATCTACATAAACCATTACTTTTTTTCTTTTATTTTGTCAATCTAGAGGAAAAAGCACATATTTTTAAACTAATATATAATATTTCAAAATAAACATTTTTTTAATTAAAATGTTTCCATATATTTTATTTAAACTTTAAATCTTATACTATTTTCTAAACTTTTCATTATTACCTCAATTTTATCCTTCAATTTTAAAATATTTATTTTAAATTCTTTTAAATGTTAAATGTTTTATTTTAATCTTTCATATTTATTTAATATGTTTCCATTTTATCCCATCCATTTTCAAAAATTTCAATAATGATGTTTAAAAAATACTCTTAAATTTTTAAAATTTTTATTAAAAATGTTAAATATTTTATTTTAATCTTTCATATTTATTTAAAATCCTTCGATTTTACCATATCAATTTTAAAAAATTTCAATAATGATGTTTCAAAAATACCCTTAAACTTTTAAAAATTTTATT